TAGTAAGCACTATTATAAGTTCACACTAGACTGAAGGCCCTTGAGAACTCAGAAACAAACAGTTAAATGCCACAGCACTAAGCAAGAGAAATAAGTGTTGCTCATATATATATATATATATGCACACATGTATTTGTGGGGCCTGGGGAAATGGCTCAGTTGGTTAAGTGTTTGCCTTGCAAACGTGAGGACCTGAGGTTGCTCCTTAGAACCTGTATTAGTTTCTTTTCTGTGCTGTAATAAAAGACCATGGCCAGGGCAACTTATAGAAAGAAGAGTTTATTTAATTTACTGTTCCAGAGGGCTAGGAGTCCATCATGGCGGGGAGCATGGTGAGGAGGCAGATGGAGCAGAAGGACTGAGGGCTCACATCTGCAGGCACAGGTGGCAAAGAGAATTGAAAATGGGACAAGGCTGTGAACTCTCAGAGCACATCCTGGGGCATGCTTCCTCCAGCAAGGCTACGCCTCCGCCTCCTGTGAACTCTCAGAGCACATCCCAAGTGGTGAGCTTCCTCCAGCAAGGCCACACCTCCTGAACCTCCCCAAACAACACCACCAACTGGGGCCAAAGTGTTCAAACACTTGGAGCTGATAGGGGGCATTTTCTTTCACACCAACAGAAAACCCATGTAACAAAAAAAAGCCAGGTGAGGTGATGTGTGCTTGTAATGCCAGAGCTGGAGAAGCAGAAAGAGGTGAATTCCTGGGGCTTGCTGTCCAACCACCCTGGCCTACAGGCATGCTCTAAGAGCCCAAGACCTCTCAGAATAAAAGAAAAAAATGGACTACTCTTTGAGGAGCAACACCTGAGGTTTTTCTCTGGCCTCTGCACAAACATACACACATATTCACATTACCTACACATGAAAATTTACCTGCACACACGCAGAGGCACATACACACATGCAAAAATGAATTTATGATCTACGATCTACAATTTTATTATGTTATTTTATTTATGCACTTACTAAATGTGGCAGATAATCCACTTCTAATAATTGCTCTGTCCTCTCTTGTGGTCTCTTATTGATTAGCCAAAAGTATTACATTTGTTCTAATTCACATTGCAGATTATGTCTTAGTTCCAACAGTTTTCTCAGAAAACAATTGCAGAGCTTCATGCAAGGACAATCTCAGCATGATGGTCAAGAAGTACAGCCCAAACCTACCCGTTCCTCAGACGTTGACTACAATGTCATAGTCTGCAGCTAGTTCAGATAAAAAGGATAATGCCATTTTTCACTATGTTTTGACAATTCCACTCATGTATATACTGAGTTCGCCCCGTTACCCTCTGTATTTGCTACTTTTCTGTTGCTGTGATAAGACATCTTGACCAAGGCTACTTGTAGAAAGAAGAGTTATTGGTTTACTGTTCCAGAGAGCTAAGAGTCCTTCAAGGTGGGGATGCGTGGCGGCAGAGGTCGCCAGAGCAGAGATCTGAGCGCTCACGTCTTCAAGCAGGCACAGGAAACAGAGAGGGACAGACACTGGAGATGGAACAGAGCCATGCACTCTCGAAGTCCACCCCAGTAATGGGCTATCTCCTGCAAGGCCACATCTCCTGAACATCTACACAGCCTCACAGTGCCACCAACTGACCAAGTGTTCACACACTTGAGCCTACGGGGAGCGGGGGAACACCTCCTTCAAAACACTATACCCTTTCTTACCCCCCTTTCTTACTGAAATACTGCTTCTTCTCAACTAGCCTCTCATGATTTGAGGTCTTTTTTTGTTTTTATTGTGTGACTCACTGAGTTTGATTAAGGTTACTTGCATAAGTATGACTGAGGAGTTATTGGCCGGAACATGAACAGCTACTTATCAGTGGCTATATCACTGAGGAAAATGACAGCCTCTCCTCAATACCCAATAACTGCCCATTGGCCCTCAGTGAGCTGTGGGACCTCATGATCCCCTCCCCCATGGGATTTTGCATTTATCTATCTACTTTTAGGATTCATTGACTCAGAAGTCATAAATAAGGATACACTTGAAGAGAGACCGATTAAGCAAAACAACAAACAGAAAAACCCCAAAACCCATCTGCATTCATGTGTAAAGATTAAGTATACATACAAACAGGTCGCACAACTCACACCTTAATAAGGAAATCAGGAACTATTTAATAGGCTCAGAAACTCTGTCTACTCCAAAGTTATGAGCTGGTGGTTAAGTCCTTGCTTCAACTGGTTGTGAATTTTAATTGAGACCCTGACTCTGTGGACGCTTTCAGAGTGAGCAAATGGCCATTAGACATAGTGTCAAAGAGCAGGTTAAGTAATGTGCAGTTTTTTCCTTATCAAACTCCGTACAAGATTTTGAGCAAGACAGCAGAAAATATATCATTTCATTATGTGCATTTTGTAGAAAAGCTTATGTTAATCTAGTCTGTAATCTCCTCTAAAATGGATGTAAGTATTATTATGGAATGACGTTTTAAATGTCATAGGCCTCTCAGTCAGTATATACACATCTAAAAACTTGGGACGTTGAAGGGCCTCCGTTTGGAGTGCTGCAGGGCAGGGTGAATTCTACCATCACATTTGTTAAGAAGATAACACATCTGGTGAAACTAAAACAGAGCTTGCTATTTCTTAGAACATAAATGTTCATTTCACTTCTCTTCTGATCAGCAAGGAAGAGGCCTAGCACGCTGTCTAGTTGGAATGTGCACCAGTGGAGTCCCATCTTCCTGACTGAGGTGAATGTGATCACCGGTAAACATTCCGGCTGGAAGTGTCCCTAGAGGCAATTGTGCTTGTCCACTTGCTTCGATCTGAAATTATGGAAATACTAAAGAGATTCTATCAAAAGCATCCAAAAATGTGTTATTGACATTATCAAAATGATCCTTAGTAAATAAAGTAAAAATAACACAGAAGGAGCCAGTAAGCACGTGGCAATTGGCTGGCACTTAGAAATATGCTCAGCCTACGTAGAAACCTCGTATTTGCCAAGTGAACTTGAGTCACTGAGTTCTGTTTTATAATGGTTTGTGGGTGTCAATGTAAATGAAAAACTTAGAATTATATTAACACTAGTATTTTGGCTAACGTTGAAAGTAGACTCCCATTACTTTAAAGGTATTTTTCATTTTAATAATTGTATTGAGCTTTGTGCATTTTGTAATACATCTTAATCAACTTTAGACCCCCTCCCTCTCCCATAGCCCCCCTCACCAGATTTCAGTATTCTGTCATGTATGTTAAGTCCTATCTGGTCATTTCTATCCAGGTGTCCAATGGTGCAAGTTCATCTACTGAAGTCTAGTCAGCCTATCTAGAGTCACTCCCTTAAAGAAGATCTATTCTCCCTCACCCAGCAGTATTCATTTGCTAATAGTTCCTTGGGTAAGGTTGGGGCCTGCTGCCCCATTCTGTGCTAGGTTTTTGTCTGATTGACTCAGCATTGGTCTTGTCCATGCTGTCACCATTGCTGCAAGTTCATATGAGGAAGTTCCCAGTGACCTGAAAGTCTCTGTTTCCTTATGTTCATGCACCAACCATGGCTCTTACAATCCTTCCACCCCTTCTTCCCCAATGGTCCTGAGCCATGGGTGGGTGAGGTTTAATGTCAGAATCCTATCCAGGGACACACACTGCAGTCTCTCGTTCTCTAAAATTTAGCCAGTCATGGCCTTCTGTATGCATTACACTCTGTTGTATGAGGAAGCTTTGCTGGTGAGAGTTGAGGGATTTATTAGTATTTTGTCTACCCCCTGTTCCACTATGTTCCATGAGCCTTCGATGTAGAGGTTTTACTGTAGATGTGTCACTTAGCACTGGGCATCTCTTAGACATATATTCTCTGTGTGTGACCAATTGTGGAACTCTGTAATAGCCTCCATCTTTTGAAAAGAGAAGCTTATTTGATTAGTGGCGTATAGTACATTTGTCTGTAAATATAAGGATCCATATTTAGCATACAGTAAGAAATTTCATTTGTCTAGAGATTGACAGAGATAGGGTTTTCTCTTGATGACCTCTCCAACCATGTGTATTTGGCTGTATTTACGGTGTTACCCGTGAGTTCCCTCCCATTGAGAGGGATTTAAATTCAATTAGATAGCTGTTGTACACCCCTAGATAAATGTGCCATTACTGCATCAATAGAGATAGTTTGTTGTGGTTATTAGGCTTCGAAGCTGGGTTGGACCATTGATTGATTTTCTCCTTAGCAACTTGCATATTATCCTCAAGAACTGAGAGCTAGTCTTCAGGGAGAAGGCTGCCAGGTCAGTTCAAACTCCTTTGTTCCGAGTCCTGTGTCCAAAGTATATCCTGTCTTCAGCAATGGGATCTTACCTTCAAGTTATAGGAATAATCAAGGGCTGTGGAAATTGCCCATGTTATTTTGGGACTCTCGTGTACTGCCCTGAACGACAAGGGAAGTTTCTCCTGTCTGGCACTGTGTTCCTTGTTATATAGCCTTCTGGTATCATGTACTTAGATCTGCATTTTTCAGGGAGTTTTGATTTAATACATTTCCCTCTGGCTTTTTTGTTAAGTTCATAACAAATTTGAAACCATGTAAACAGAAATAAAACAGAAAATTAATTATTGAAATTATTGTTGCAGGTATGTCCAAAAAGATCACTTTCAGATGACAAATCTCCTCTCTTTCTCTCTTTCTCTTTCCCTCTGTGTCTCTCTCCTCTCTCTCTCTCTCTCTCTCTCTCTCTCTCTCTCTCTCTCTCATCACTGTAAGTCACTTCAGTCACTGTGGCTTCTCTCTCTCTTTCTCTCTCTCTTTCTCTTTCCCTCTGTGTCTCTCTCCTCTCTCTCTCTCTCTCATCTCTGTAAGTCACTTCAGTCACTGTGGCTTTCATGTGATTCTGATACCTTTTATTATTGTGAAATAGTCAAAGGCCAATAGAAGGCTGAAAGCCATTACGTACCACTCAACACGATGCTCAGTCAGCACCACAGAGTCCCTGGCAAAGAGCTTTTCACAAGCAGGAACTGAATCATGGCAAATATTGGGCGTTTGCAGATTCGATACTGGGCAGCTCATGACAAAGAAGCAGCTGCACACAGAGTCCAGGTCACCAGCCAGGAGTACTCGGCCAGGCTCGAGAACCTTCTGCCCGACACCCAGTACTTCGTGGAAGTGGGAGCTTGCAACAGTGCAGGGTGCGGACCTCCAAGTGACGTGATTGAAACCTTCACCCGAAAAGCCCGTGAGTGTCAGAACTGCACTTTAAACAAACACATAAACCAACCACTTGATTGGGTCCTGGAGGTCTGAGAAACTGTTCCTGTCTTGCTGTCCAGGTGCATTTGACTCATAATGATTCATCCTTGAGAGCTGCATGAGGTGTTTTTAAGAGTTTCTAGTTATTGTGGATAGTGAAAAATGTGAAGAATGCTCTCACACATTTTTATTCCATTATATCAATCAAACTAGAGGGCTGCCTTTGGAAACGGTCTCCTTCAAATTTTGGATCACTCAAAAATTAACTTGTCTCTCTCCTATGTTTATTAATTGAAGCTATTTTCATACAAATACATTGACAGCATCAGCATGTTAAAATTCCATTCATTTTTCTTTTTCTGTGCTTTTTTTTCACAAATCATCGCTGTACAATGTGGATGATGTATGTTCAATGTTACAGCATGGTGACTACCCTCTTATTATTCTAAAGACATCCGCAGGTATCTTTAATCCTGATTACCACTGGGGTTTGTGATTTTATGAAATTCTTTGGGGACACAGCATCTCCTAGTACAATGTCAGAACTCAGAGGTAAGAGGCTGACTTTGGTGTCAGGCATAGTTTTGAGATCATTCTGCACCTTACTAAATGTATGACAGTAGACACATTATCTTGCTTCTTTACACCTTACTTTTCAAATATGCAAATGAGTCATTAATTCCCTTTGTTCATGGCATTCATTCATTAAAAATACATGATATGTCAATCAGAATTCTATGTAGACAACAAAAGAGACCACAGCAGACCTCGAAACTGGACAAAAACTCTGTTAAATCAGTGTGATTATGTCTGTGGGACAATAAGATAAATGAACTGATAAGATTGAAAGAGATTTGGTTGGGAGCCAAATTTTAATTGGGTGGGTGGAAGGTCTTTGAGAGGATGCCCTGGAAGCTAGAATTTTTGTGAGTGATGAGGGATAAGAAAGACTATTTCAAGTAGAGAAAATAAGTATGGCAGAATTTTAAATATTTTACCATTGGAAAGACCATCCAGGCCAAACCATCCCTTTGAAATGAGGAGGGGTGTGCCGAGCTCAAAATACGGAAGACTTTGTAAGCCATAGTAAGAAACATGGGTTCTGGGGCTGGAGAGATGGCTCAGTGGTTAAGAGCACTGACTGCTCTTGCAGAGGACCCGGGTTCAATTCCCAGCACCCACATGGTGGCTATGAACCATCCTTAACTCCAGTTCCAAAGGATCCGAAGCCCTCTTATGACCTCTGTGGCACTGCACAACATGGGTGCACTCACATACCATGCAGGCAATATACTCATACACATAAAATAAAAATAGTAAGTAAAATATTTTTCAAAAAAGAAACGTGGATTCTAAGTGTGGCCTTGATAAGAATCCGTTTTAAATCTGAGTGATATCTATTTGTGCTCTTTGAAAGTGTCATTCTGACTTCCACATGAAATAGAAATGGTGGCAAGTTAGAATGAAAGCAGGTGAACTATCAGGATTTGAGAAGAGAGTCACTGGTGGCCAGCACGGAGTGGTAGTCATGTAGAGAGGCGGGCTTTCCCTGAAGGTGCGATGACTCCGTGCTGCTGACTTGGGTCCTGGCAGTGAGTATCACACAGGACCGAATACCAGATTTTTGCTTGAGAAACTAGAGGCGTATTTGTTCAGTTTTCGAAAGATCAGGAAAGACTCATGAGAGGCAGGTTTGGGGATGCATGGCAAAGATTTCTTCTTGATAGTATTACATTTGGACATTGTAGAGACAGGAAGTTCAACAGATGATTAGAGGTCAACAGGTAGTTTCCAGCTAGAGACTGAGTTGAGAAAAAAGACTTAGGGAAGAGTCACAGATAGTGCAGAGACATGCAGAATAAATTCAAGTCATTCCGGCACTTAGAAGGTGAGCAGAAAATACAAAGTTAGAGCAGAACGATTAATGGGGGAGGGGAGAGAAACAGGAGTGAGGCAGAAGCGAAGGGGCAGTCAGATAAGACATGAATTTAGGGAAAGAGCTAGAGATTCCGAAGGAAAAGTTAACTCTGGAAAGTTCCAAAGACGTTAAGTTTGAAGAATGCCAAAAGATGCATCGGAGCTGGCCGAGATCACTGCCCTCGTTAGCAGCAGTTTCGACAGACAGGCAGAGAAGGAAACCCAAGCAGAGCAGGATAAGGAGAGAGAAAAACGCAGCTGTACCCCTGCGCCGCAGCCAGTGGGAGTATTAAAGGAAGCTGTGGATGCACAGTGCAAAGCACAGTACCCGGTGGATGGTGAGCACGCCCTAGACTTGGTTTTATTGACAACATCTCTGTCATCCGCATTTAAACCCACGTACAGTGTACTTTGCAGACCTGAGGTTTAGTAGGGTGACCACTTATTACCTGCTCCTTCCGCAGCTCCTAGCCAACCACCAAGGATCATCAGTTCGGTGAGGTCTGGCTCACGTTACATAATCACCTGGGACCATGTTGTGGCACTATCAAATGAATCTACAGTGACGGGATATAAGGTAAAGATAACGTGACTAGGTCGTTCTCCACACAGCTTCAGTCCCACAGTTCGTGTGCGTGACCTCAGCCATCAGTGACACGCCTCTGGCTTTCTATTCTTCATGCACAGCTGCCTCAGACGATGTAGGTATCTCATGATACGTCTTTAAATGAGGAAACTTCTTTAGTGACTTTTAGCGAAATCCTGTGTCAAGTAAGTTAAATAGAACAATTGCTTCGAAGAGTAGAGTTGTCATAACAACCGATGATTAAATAGGAGAGCAGAGTGGGTTCACTTCTCGTTGCCTGGCATTGATACTGATAGTGTTACCTCCCTCACCTCGGTCAACTAAAGAGAAAAGATGATTTCCATAAATTCTCTACAGTTGCTTTCACATTATGCATCAGATAAACAAGCTTTAGGAACAATGTGAAAATGCTTAAAAGAACTTTTTGGGTCACTTCAATGAATGAGAAGCTTCCTTGACATATATCATGTCTCTAAAAGACACATCTTTCCCGTATCTTTCAGGCGTTGCAAAATAAAACTCTAACAAGATTATAGCACATGCTTTCACATAACCCCAACACAGCAGAAACCAGTTCCCTGCGGTTGGAAAAACATGCATGTTCCCAAAAGGTTTAAATGTACTTATTTGTTTATGAATGAAGGCACAAGCATTACCTGATACCAGTGTCCAGACTGGCTCGTTATTGTGGCTTATTAATTCTTCGCACTTTTTGGACTTTGTAGATTCTTTATCGGCCAGATGGCCAGCATGATGGCAAGCTGTTCTCAACCCATAAACACTCCATCGAAGTCCCAATCCCCAGAGATGGCGAGTATGTCGTTGAGGTTCGAGCACACAGTGATGGGGGAGACGGAGTAGTGTCTCAAGTCAAAATTTCGGGTAAGTCATCGTCCCAGACCTGTTTCTGGTACGCTCGCATGCCACATGGCTTCCCAGGTGTAAGATAAACTGACATTCAGACCAACATCAGCATTTTCCTAAGTCCATTCCAACATCAAAGGTGCCATTAAATCTAATGCTCCCTTCTCTATGTCAGAAATCTATCATAGCACATACCTGTTCATTATGATCTAGATGTCAAAGCAGTTATAAGCTAAGATGGGTGAGTTCCAGGATCTAGTGCACATCACGGGAGACAACAGATGTGTTGACTGTGATAATCGTTTCATTATATAACATCGTTGTGTTGCATGACTTGAATATATTTTAGTTAATTAAATATTTAAAAGTGTATATTGCATTTAAAATATAAAGCATTAAAAATGACACTAGACCATTATTTAACAATACCCAAAATTCCTTTTATTTCTGGGATGGAGGTACGGCTCAACAGTCAAGAGCACCAGCTGTTCTTGCCGAAGACCATAACTCCAGTTCCAGGGGGATCCTCTGTGGGCATCGCACGACACGGGTGCACTTACATGCAAGTATAACACTCACACACACACACACACACACACACACACACACACACACATCAATCAAAAAAATTCCTTTTATTTAAAAAGGAAATCTCCTGGTCACTTTTTATTTTCATTACATGTTAATACAGTAATAAAAGAAAAGGACCATGATTCTCTTGCTTTTGACTTTATCTACCAGTTTCTTTTCTGCAAGTGGTATTTCCCACAGGCCTGGTTAATTTCTAACATGTATTTGAGACAGCAATTCCTTTTCTGTTTTATACTTGTAGCATTCTATTTTGTGCTTACTTTTATTATGTTTTGTTACGTTAACTCTATTAAATGTTCATTTTATCAGATTAAAATTGATTTAACTTAGGAATTTAATTATAGAATACGAAATAATAGAAGATGACAAGCAAATGATAGTAATAATTGAGTTATAAAATGGTGATTCGTAGGAAAGTAGATAGATATATGCTACTAAATATTAAACCAGCAAAAGACGCTTATTACAATGAGAGTGTTCAATAACATAAATACTAGCTTCACCTGTGAACCATGTTTCCATGAAACTTGCCATAAATCTTTCTGAAATAGAAATATATGAGATAACGCACTTAAAGTTTTCATTTAAAGTATTGTCTTTTTCAAAAATTTAGAAATTGTAGAAATTGAAATGAGTTAGGAAACATTCATATTCCAAATAGCCTTAAACAATCTTGTAGGCTTCTGTTCAGTAAATCATGCCATACCAAGCTTCTTTCAGTTCTTACATGAACATTTCTGTATCATTCAAGGCTTTACATACTTCATGTAAATGCATACATAACAGTCACTCAAGCAAATTTACACAATTTATCTACCCATCCCATATTTTTTTCTTTTCTTTATTTTTTTAACTTTTTAAAATTTTTAATTTTTTTTTAATTTTATGTGTATGCATGTATTGCCTGCATGTAGGTAAGTGCACCTGTGTTGTGCAATGCCCACAGAGGTCAGAAGAGGCTGTCGGATCCCCTGGAACTGGAGTTATGGACAGTTGTTAGCTGCCATGTGGGTGCTGGGATTCAAACCTGGGTTTTCTATAAGAATAGCTAGTGTTCTTAACCGCTGAGCCATCTCTCCAGCCCCCATTTTTCTAGTAGAAATCATAAGAGAATTCGGTGTGTTTTTATAGTCTTTCTGGAAGTTACATTTGAATAATAAGATAGTTTATTTTGATAGCACCAAATCTCATTAAAGGTACAAATTCCATCCCTGCCATTCCCATGAGAGCTTTGCCCCAGCACTTGTCCACCATGACTCTTTTCACTCATTACTAGCTGCTCTTAAAACATTTTCTAAACTCTGAGCTTTGATGACAGGCACTGTCATGTTTGTACCTTAATTCGCTCCGTAGGTGAAGTGATTCAGACCAGCAGTCTGTCGTTAGAGACGCTGTATCCATGCGAGTGATGGCAATGGGTGGTGACCAGTGAGGAACAGGCAGGGGCTCAAAGCCTGACTCGCCAGGAGGATGCAGGCCAGCTCGGTAGTGTCTGCTCGTATCTGTGGTGTGAATACTCTGGTGTTTGACTTCAGACTTAACACATGATTTCCCAAATGTTTGGGGAGAGAGAAGTTGCTTGCTAGCATGACATTATAAATGCACGCTACACCACAATACCATGCAATGACTGTGATCTCAAGTACATTTGTAACATTAAAATACAGTAAATAAAGCCAAGTGTGGTGGCGCACACCTTTAATCCCAGATTTGGGAGGCAGAGGCAGGTGGATCTCTGTGAGATTGAGGCCAACCTGGTCTACATAGAGAGTTCCAGGTCAGCTGGGGCTCCAAGAAGACCGTGTGTCAAAAAGACCTAAAAATACAGTAAAATAATTAGGAAGTGATAGATTTTGAGTATTTGCTACCTTTGCTTTAATCTTTTTAATACAATTAATAAATTTTATGCAATTTTACTTTTTGTAATGATGATTTAACAAATTGCTTTTAAATTTTCTGACAGTTTACCAATTAGCTCTCAGGAGGCGGCAGGAACTTCAACACATTGCAACAACATTAGACATTCCAATGACCCTGCCATGTACAAAAGGCACATCTTTTGTTCTTAGAAGCCTCAAACGTACTCACAATATTTTCCTCCATTTTGTCAGCTAAACTAAAGGATGCTTATTATTTGCAAAACTTCTATTATTTATTTCAATCTAACCATAATTGTACAAACAGACCTGTGGAATTAACGCATTGAAATGCCAGCTATTAGATAAAAAGTAACATTTCTTGAATTTTCTATAGTTTGGACTTACAGATTATTCAGATTAGTTGTCACAAGGAAAGTGTATCCATGGACACTTTGCCATCTTGCAAATGTAAAGACTACAAAAACTTAGTTTCAGCTTTGTGACTGAGATATGTAGACAGAGACTGAACGCATTGGTAGACAGCAATGGGTACAAACTTCACGCTGTCTCTTCATTCAACAGATGCACACTACACAGCTCACACCCACAGGATGGACACAATCTGAGGGGTCTTTACAGATGGAATCAAATCATAGCATCCACCTTCCTTATCACGGCCCACAATGTCTTATATAATCTGGCCTGCCAATCTCTCTTCTCCACTGACTTTACCAAAGGGCATCTGTGCTCCTCCTCTCCACCTGGAGTTCCTCAGATGGCCTGGCAGTTTCATTCATGGCATTTTTTTTTCCTGGTCAAATGTCAGTTCCTCAGAGCAGCGTAGTAGCTTGACAGGGCCACCAGTTTTAGAAGGTTACTCACCTTCTAAACTCTAAATTTTGAGTAACTCTTCATTAAAGATCACACATACTATTTTCTTCATAACATTTTTGACCATTTAAATTTATCCTGTTTCTTCATTTATGCTCATTTATTGCCTTGTCTCCCCTGTTTGTCGAAACAATCTCTAGCACTTAGAGGAAGGTTTGGCATATAACAAGGTTTTGATAAATACCTATTTAATTAATTTGTGATTTCCATATAGAAAAAAGCTTTGTAAGCAGGATAATTTGGGGACCCTAAGGCTATAGTTTTAGATCTCTTGACATGGACATATCTTCTCATGAGGCATATGTTTTGTATTCTCTTATGTGTACATCCACAACCTTAATTCTTATAAAGATTAAGATTTTATGTTAGAAGAATCTTAGGAATTTTACTAAACATTGTAGCTATAATTCTGCTTCTCATTGACCTGACCATTGTCTTCTGTAATGATAAATTATTCTCTACTAAATGTTTATAGTGTCCATTAAGGAAAATGTAATGCCCCCAATCTGTCCATCACAAACATTATCACTAATAAGTTCTACCATTTCTTCAAAAAACTTTTCTGCTGTACTTCATTGTGAGTTAAATTAAAATTGTAAAAAGTTACAGCATTTTGAATATAAATTTCAATAAGATGATTTAGATTATTTTCTATTTGCTACCAATTTTAAACTATTGGGTCACAAGGATCCTTAGATGCAAATAAATATTCACAGAGAATCATCTATCTAGTTATTTATATGTAAGTATGCATATTCTAAGCCTTGATTTTCCTATTTAGCTTTAAAGAAGCCATCCATGGCCAACTTAGCCAAAATGAGTATTTTTAAAGGAAATTTTAGTCTGGATTTCTTCCCAAGTGCAAGAAATATTATTTGAAACCATTAAGATGAGAGTAACAGGATCAGATTTCTTTACTTGAAAACTTGTATTGGTGATTCTGAAAAATGTCTGGTAGGGAGCAAGTTAGAAAGAGTAAAGTGTAAGGTCATCACCAGAAAATGGTTAAAGCTGACAATGTCTGCACCAAAAAGAATTGTGGTGAAGGCTAGGCTAAATTTTTACAAGAATATGTCATCTTTTCCATTTGACTGAAAGTTACTATTTATTCCTTTTGTTGACTTTATCTTCTAATAAATCTGTCATTTATCCTGATGTTACCAGAGATGACATAAACTTTTAATCTACTATTTTTGGTCACTATTAAGTTAAACTATATCACCACAGCCACTGACTTGAAACACTGTGATTCAAAACACATTTTTCTCTTTCGGTTCTCCCTCTCTGCTTAGTCACAGAGAAAACAGCAAGGAAGCACTGTGTAGGTCGACATCCTGGATGTTGAATTCCTTCATTTCTGTGCTTGCTCTTCTAGGGTGTAAGTAGTACAGGAAAAAAGAGATGAATGCGAGTTGGGAGGTTGAGACTTATTTCATACATTATTAAACTAAAAACCAATATTAACATCGCTTTGCAGACACCTCTTATATGGACGTTTTCAAGTTTTCAAGTTTTTGTTTATTTGTTTGTTGGTTTTCTTTTTTTTTTGAGATAGAGCATCATGTAACACGGGTTGTCCTTGAATACACTTTGTAGTTGAGGGCGACCATGAACTATCATGTTCCCGCCACCATCTCCGGACTGCTGGGATTCAGGTGTGCTCAATGGGCATTTTTT